GTGTGTTGGGGAGGTGGTCATGAAAAAATGAAAATAAAATGGGTAGTCAGGCCAGACCAATTTTATTTCTTGTTTTGCGGATCCGCCGGTTGTATTTTTTCAAGAATAAGAAGAAAAAAAAAAGTTGATTTTCCCCACTTCAAAAATAAAATCGTAATGTTTTATTGGTCAAACATGTAAATTTACAAGAAAGGATTTTTTTAGATTGTGTTTTGCTCCATAGATTGCCAAAAGTAAAATACTTTTAGTATTTTTTTTTTTTTTTCCCTTTTCCCTTTTTGCCTTTAGGTTTTCAGAGGACAAAACTCTGTAAAACAAGAAATAAAATTGGTCTGGCCTCAGCAAAATATAAAATCCTAATGCCAACTTCTTCCCTGACAGGTCCCTGAAGTCTTATCAACTTCAATGGTAATTGTGAACTTAACTTTATCCTATCCTAACTGTCCCTGTCATCCATGAGTTGGCCTACTTCAGTATGATAGTTGATCTGTCAATGCTATTATGTATGGTATGTGTTTATTTGATCTGGTTAAAGCCTATCCTTATGTGTGGTAACTGACAGTCAGTGACAACAGGCTCTATTATGTGACTGTCAGGTCAGTCAAGCCTCTCCTAAATATAGGTGTCGCATAGTGCTGGTGGGTGAATGTGCATCCTGTTCGTGATAATATTTGAAATTTGATCTTCCTGTAGACAAAAAAATCTGGTTACAGTGATGATTAAACCTATCTTTGTTGTCTAAATCATCAATTGTTCATGTTGATGGGGGCTGGGGGTGGGGGTAGCCTAGTGGTTAAAGTGTTCGCTCATCATGCTGAGTACTCGGGTTCGATTCCCCACATGGGTGAAGCCCATTTCTGGTGTCCCCTGCCATGATATTGCTGGAATATTGCTAAAAGCCGCGTAAAACCAAACTCACTCAAGTTGATGGATGTTCGGCCTTTCTGTGACCTGAGACCAGGGCAAGTGTTTGCAGCATATTGCATTGAATGTGCAATGTAAATGAATTTTGGGCTGTATGGTCACGCAAGCCACAGGCCAAAAACCTTTATGGATTATTCCAGGAAGATAATCAATTATCAGCAGAAACATGTGTGAAACATCAGCCTTAAATATAACACCAAAGCCATCATTTGTGATTGAGATACTGTTGGAAGACTGGTACTTTGCTCATACAATATCTGGTGGGATGAAGTCCTCCCTATCAACTCAATAATCAACTCAATACAGTTGTAGATTTCTGGTCAGCTGATGTGGTAGACTAACATCTTGTCTCTGAAATGAACATATGTTACTGTTCATAAAAAATCATCACAAAATATAATGAAAAGGAGCCCAGAGACTTTCTTCATTTTCAGCCTGAAACTGTGGAAATCTAGACTTGCCATGTATACTAGAATTGCATAGGCTTTCATGGATATATTTGTTTCAGGGTCTGTACGACAGACTACTGATGTGGGTGTAAGGATGGTCCAGTGTGTGGGTTGAGTTGAACTGTAGGTAACACTAGTTACTTATGTTAATTGATTTTGATTGCTTCATATAGGTACCAAAAGATGTTATAAAATTATTTATTTTGTAAATTTTACTGTGAAGTTTATGATTTGGCCTGCTTTTTACAATATTCTTGTCACATCTAGGCAGGGAATCCATGAATATAAACTTCTTATAGCAAGGTAACTCCCCATGATTTGGGGATGGAATCACCATCCTCTCCAATGATGTTTCCAGGTTTGTAAGCACCATACCTGTGCTCAAATTATTCACACCTGTGACCTGCATCACTTCAGGCTTTGACCCGTGAAGATCTGGGTTAGAATTGATCTTCATTAATCCATACGTGTCGTAAGAGACGACTAACGGGATCGGGTGGTCAGGCTCGCTGACTTGGTTGACACATCTCATCGTATCCCAATTGCGTATAATGATGCTCATGCTGTTGATCACTGGATTGTCTGGTCCAAACTCGATTATTTACAGACTGCCATCATATAGCTGGAATATTGCTGAGTGTGGTGTAAAACTAAACTCACTCACTCACTTCAGGCTTTCCTGGCACGTTAAGTCATGAAGGTGGAATATTGTCAGAAGTAGCATGAACCCCAATTCACTAACCCATGCCAAGAGAGACAACGTACCCTTGTGAACACTGAAGTGTAAGGTGTGCAGGCTATATCCTGCCATCCCTCTTACTATATCATATCTCTATATTCACATACTTAATCATGAAGCAGATATATATCACCAGCTGTCACAAAGGGTGGAATGAAACAACATACTCATCCTCAAGGCACCACATTTACTCAATTCTGACAATGTAGAAAAGATTCTTGTCCTCAAGGCTCCATGTCGAGTCAATTCTGACATTGTTGACAGGATTCTCGTCTTTAAGGCACCATGTCTAGTCAATTCTGACAGAGAAGACAAGATTCATGTCTGCAAAGGCTCCCATGAGTCAATTCTGACATTGTTGACAAGATTCTTGTCTTTAAGGCACTATGTCTAGTCAAATCCAACAGAGAAGACAAGATTCATGTCTGCAAAGAAGACAAGATTCATGTCTTGCAAGGGCACCATGTCTAGTCAATTTCTGACAGACTCATGTCTGCAAAGGCTGACAAGAGATTCTTGTCTTTAAGGCACCATGTCTAGTCAATTCTGACAGAGAAGACAAGATTCATGTCTGCAAAGGCTGCCATGAGTCAATTCTGACATTGTTGACAAGGATTCTTGTCTTTAAGGCAACATTGTTGACAAGATTCTTGTCTTTAAGGCACCATGTCTAGTCAATTCTGACAGAGAAGACAAGATTCATGTCTGCAAAGGCTGCCATGAGTCAATTCTGACATTGTTGACAAGATTCTTGTCTTTAAGGCACCATGTCTAGTCAATTCTGACAGAGAAGACAAGATTCATGTCTGCAAAGGCTGCCATGAGTCAATTCTGACATTGTTGACAAGATTCTTGTATTCTGACAGTCAAGACAAGATTCCTGTCCTCAAGGCTCTATGTCAAGTCAGTGTAGAAAAGATTCTTCTCAACAGCACCATGTCAAGTCAATTCTGACAGAGTAATCAGTGTAGCTTACATTCTTGTACAAGTAAACATATGATGACATATCATAAATCCATTTTTCTAATACATCATCACATTGCAGTCTTGTCCACTCATTACAATAAAGAAACATAATTTGTCGCTGTATGAACCCATTCAATAACTATAAAAAACAAAGGCTTGAGAAGACTATTTTCAGTATATGTTTATTTTCTGCAAATTAAGAAACTATACAAATCTTTTCATGATGTTGAAGAATTCAGGTACTGGTACATCTAAACTCTGTATATAAAATGATAACAATTTGATAAAAGCAGGTAAAGTGACGCAGTGGAACACTCCTAAGCAAAGAACACCACAACCTAGATAATACCGTTTTGAGGCTTGTTTGAATATAGTGCTAAGGCCAGACCAATTTTATTTCTTGTTTTACGGACTCGCCGGTCATATTTTTTCAAGAATATGAAAAAAAATGAAAGTCAATTTTCCTCGCTCAAAAAATAAAATCCCAATTTTTTATTGGTCAAACATGTAAATTTACAAGTTATTTTTTTTTCAGATTGTGTTTTGCCCCATATACACTTCATAAACTTCCAAAAGTACAATACTTTTAGTATTTTTTTAATATTTTTTTTCCCTCCTGCCTTTAGGTTTCCTGAGGACAAAAATCCGTAAAACAAGAAATAAAATTGGTCTGGCCTAAAAAAGACTTCCAATCAAATTATGGTGGTCCTTCATTGAAAGAAGCATGGAAATATTCATGTCAACTATTGCGTGCCATTGCAAATACACCCCAAACTTTTCGTAGCATAAAGACACTTCACCCACTCCCATTTTAGTACTTATGAAGCATCTTTTCTGGCTAAAATATAACTTAGAGCTGCAATATCTTTCATTTAAATATGTCAAGGCCTTGTTCCGATGAGACCACATTATTTATTCTTGATTTCTGACGAAACCACATTCAGAAGAGACATTTTGATTTCCAGCTCACACAAAAGAAATTCTGAGGTAAGCATTCAATGACAGACAGGCAGCAGGTGACATTACTCCCAAAACAAAGCAAAGCTAAGAATAGGTGTGGGTTATATGTCAAAACAAAATGGAGATTGAATTGTTTGAATTTCTAGAAGTTGGTGAGTCAATAATGAAACATATGACTTTATGGATAACAGTTTCTTGTTTATTGCATAGAGTGGCTTTTCAATGTTGATTCTTGCACCATTATGGAGATAAGATTCACTGTATAATTGAGGCGGTTATCACCAGTATCACACTTTGGGAGAAATCCAAAATAGAAGAAATAACACACAATCATATTTCTGAGGAACACTACACTTCCTTGTCAGTTACCCTGGTATTGTCTTACTGAGATCTCTGGGTAGATGGATATAATTTTTCACAATCATTTTAAAGTGTACCAAAAATATACTTCTGATGATGCCATTATCATCAAAATGTCAAACTAACACAATAGAAAAATTTGATATGCCCACAGGGTACCCATGATTCGTTGTTAACCTGGAAAATTTATGCTAACCTTGGTTTCCACAAAGTAAAGGTTACACTGTACGAACAGTGACTGAGCTCAGTTTTATGCTGCTTTTAGCAATATTCCAGCAATATTCCATCTCCAATATCACATAAATCTCAATACCCTGGATGATCTTATTACCTCCATGGTAGTAGCCAATCAGATAAGCCTCGTTACAACCGAGCTTGCCAGTGTCAACAAAGATAGCGATTGCAGTGGATGTAGTCTCAGATTTGGGAAAACATACAGACAAATTGAAAAGTCAGAGTACCTGTGCAACAATATATTATTGTGTTGCCATTACCTGCCGGTTAGATAATTTAAAAAGCTGGTTGTGATTGGTAGCTCAACTTTCTAGAAACCTGAGTAGCCAAGGGAGGTAATAAAAATCGCCTCCGTGATGCATCCGGGTATAGTGGGAGATTTATGTCAACATAGAAGATTATGAGGATGGCAATATCAGGGCATACCAGAAATGGGCTTCACACATTGTACCCATGTGGGGATTCGAACCCGGTTCTTGAGTGTGACGAGTGAACACTTTAACCACTGGGCTACACCACCGCACCCTGTACAAACAAATACAGTTAGACACTGCTTTGTCAAATTTTGAGGAGTTGAACTTATGGTTGTATCAAAGTTAACGCTTCTTCCTGGACATTCCTTATATTTAGTAATCACTTTGCGGCTGTGTTGAACCTCGGGCAACCCAAAGTATTTATGTTGGTACCTTCAACTTCAACAACAAACTGTATATAAAGTGAGCATGGATACTAAAACATCTATATCTTGGCAAAAATGACACACAATATGAATATAATGTTGCTCAGATACATAAAAATATATACCGATAATATAAATATATTGAAAGACGTGACTAAACAACCAACAAGACGCTGACTATGTATCTGAGTATAATAATTGTAGTTCACAAAAATCACAGGACTAGAACTTTCACTAAAACTAACTCAGCAAATAAATACAAACCACAAAAAGGCAGCAGCATACTAATTATTTCACACAAACACATTTTTATCTTGTTTTGAATGAAAGGACAAAGAATCATGTATTTATATTTGTTTAACTTCTAAATGTCTCAAAGATGTCAAGAAGATTGTAATGAGTTTGTGCCAAAATATCCTTTCTGCCGGACCAATCTTGTTAGATAACTACATTATTAAGTGTCCAGTAAATCAGTGAGTAATTACATTGGCCCAGTGATGAACAGGATGCCTTTATAAAGTTGAAATATTTACCCCAGTAATTATGCAGCACCAGACTCAATTTATTTCTTATTGTTGTCATCTGACATTGAAAAACGAACCACATGAATAACATTTACTTTTGTCACCATGATTATGTCCGTACAAATATATTGGTGACATCACACAAAATAAACCTTTACCCTTGTATATAAACAGATATTAGATACAATAAATATGGATGCAGAGACAAAATATCTATAACTTCATCTCTGTATATAAACATTAAAACATAACAACCAATTTACAATTTTTAAGCATGCACCAGTGATGTAAATAAATGTCTGAAACATAATCTGTGTCAGGTTAGAACCACTATGTGTGGTGGAACAGGCAAACAGTCACCCTGTGTCCACTCACATAGCACCTTAGCAACTACTGCAATTATTGCATCCCATAACAAATTCATAATATTTTGTAAAAAAATGTCTGTGTAATGGCCATACAAGAATTTTCAACATGGCCATTGTGGTCGCCACACTGAAAAACAGATTTCCTGAACAAGATCAGGTGTCATCATTGTGAATGAATGAGCATATGGAGTTTTACTGGCCCATTAGTTCCTGAGGAAAAGAATTTTGCAACAATATTGGACCATTTTCAAAGTGCAATGGTCAAATATAAACTTAAAAATTAACACATCAGAAAAAACAAACACACATTTAGAGCCACAAAACTAATCCATTTTGAACAAATATGAGAAAAATTGTCATAAATACCTTTTCCAATATGAGTGCCAAACAAGATTCAAACATCTGGAAACAAATTGAGGTGGTTGAAAATGTCTGTTACATTTCAGCTTCATTGGTCTACTGGTTTCTGTTGAAAGGATGAAAGATGAACTTGACTATTAGTCAGGTGAGCTAAAAATATTCATTTTGATATTTGAAATAATAACAATTTCAAAATTACTTCTCAAACCTAAATATGAATATAACAGGATAACAAAATCTTCAGAAGAATCCCTTAGAAAGATATCTACTATCAATGACTTTTAGGGATGGACCTTTCAAGGACTGACTGACTGACTGAGTTTGATTTTACGCCGCTTTTAGCAATATTCCAGCAACATCACGGCAGGGGACACCAGAAATGGGCTTCACACATTGTACCCAGGGGTGGCCAACGCTTTAACCATTAGGCTACCCCACCTTTCAAGAAGGAAACTGTCAAAGTCAACACTAGCACAGTGTGTTCACCAAAATATGCAGCACGTGATAAAAAAAACTAGTCAGTAATCAGATGACAAAAGAAATGTGAGCACTGTAACCACCCTTCTTTCATCAAACAGGATATAGATCCCAAGCAGGTAATGGATCCGTCCTGCATCCAGCCCACGTATTGTGTCTGCTGATCTCTATCAACAATTCATGACTCAAGGTTTCCTTTCAAATGCATCAACAACAATTAACATCAGACTGTTAATACTGTATAAAAGAATATATTGTTAATTATAAAATATAATATTGTGGTATAAAATAGACATGCTTCTAGATTCCGCTCAAACAATACATATATCAGTGTCATTTGACGTTCTGTTGAAGTAAAAAACAACAATAAACAACCAGACCCTGGGCAGCACTCACGTTCTCCCATAAAAATGAATAAACTTAATCAGTTGTTAAATTATTACTCTATGCATAAAATGGGTACCACATACTTTTTTCACAACAAATAGCTGTGTTGATAGGGTGTATGCATTGGACATGCAATGAGTTTTGAAAATCCAAAACAAAGACAACACCTTAGTATTGAAGCATGCCAGATTTGTTTCAACAGTATCTGATTCTGAAAAGTGTTAAGAATATTTCTGAATATTACCAATACTGCTGCCTATGATCAAGTCTGTTTTCTCTTGTTCGTTTATCTGAAGCAATGCAGTATTCTTTTGACTGTGCATGGTATGACATCATACTGAAACTTATACTCAAGAATGGGGCTGCACATTACGCTCGAGTGTCCATGTATGCACAAGGAAATACAGATTTTCTTGAGAAACATCTACGTACCTTCCCAATAACACAGCAAAGTATCGCAGACAATAAGAATAAGATGGGTATATTACACAGCTGGCGGAGAATATCACAGTTATTGCCCTTGAGTAACCCTTTAGTTTCGACTGCATATAACACATACATGTATATTTGTTTTTATCACACTTATTGTTACATTGCCATAGTTTCTGAGATCAGTCTGTATTTGATAAACATCATAACATCTTTCTTTAATAGAAAAGTTCTACAACATGTCCAAAAGAAGACAAATAGCACATAGTAATTCCTGTATCCGAACTATCGATTAATGGGCACTTAAAATGTGATTTATAATATCATTAAACTGCATTTATTGTTTGTCTTGATGTAATACATCTAATAAGCCAAGGCAGTATCTGATTTATGCTAAGACAATGTTAAGTGTCTCTGATACTATTACACATACAACTAGTCACTACCCATGGTTATGTCCAGCTAGGTCCAGCACTGACCAGTGTCCAGTCAGAGTGGTTTGTACGCCAGCAAACCATCTCCAGTCAATCCCCTTCAAGGTTTAGGGATCAACCTTCATTTATTCTGACTGACGCTGAAGCTGGGTCTAGACAGACACAAGATCTGGACGATGACTTGCAATAAGCTCAAGGGAAGCAGTAAACTGGAGACTACCGATAGAAGTATGGAACAAGGTCCTTCATCATTCCCTGAAGAAAAGACAACCATTCTTAAGAAATTGCAACATGTGTACACATATCAACAGAACAGACTGATTCACTAATATTTGAGACAGAAATATATACTGACAAATTAAAATAGTGGTGGATGGTGAATCATTATACAAAATTCATAAGGCTTCATATAAACTGAGCGTCCGGAGACGGGTGAATTTTTGTGGAGGACGGGTTAAAAAAAATTTAAGGACCATCCAATTCTTTGATATCACATTTTAGTTAATCCGTGGTCCTTGAGATTTTTTAGTAGTATTTATCACCTTTCCATATATCAGTCTTCACTTTGGGACTTTTGTCCCCCATATGTAAAATCTGTGATACCTTGTCACACATGCTGCTGAAACATAGCTTACCTGGGGATCTATGTGGGGCGCGAATCTCTTCACAGGCTTTCCTTGGCGATCAATGAGAAATTTTGTAAAGTTCCACTTCAGCATGCTGAAAGAAGATAATATGTTTGTACAACATCATGATCCTGGAAAGACATGTGACATGTGGAAGAGACCTGCTGATCAGAACAGCAGGTAACATGGTAACTATGATAGGGGTAAGGGAGTGTGTATAGTTTTATGTCGCTTTTAGCAATATTCCAGCAATATCAGCAGGGGACACCAGAAACAGGCTTCACACATTGTACCCGTGTGGGAATCGAACCCGGGTCTTCAAGCGAAGGCTTTAACCACCATGCTACCCTACCGCCCCAACTGTGATAAGGAATGTAGTATGTTCAATTATATAATCATTTGGAGAAATTGGACAACAAGGGGCTTCCAACCCTGTATCAGTACTCCTGATGCCGAGCCGTATTAAGTGGAATTCCAGATGCAGTAGTGTGGTCAGCTGGACACATGAAATTTCAAAAATATTTTTGTCTTCATTTTTGGCAAAGAGTGATAAATCAATAAAATAGATTTCCTCAGCTTATGAGCATGCATGGTCATGCATTATATGTGTAATATCAATCTCAGTCTAATTTACTTGTACCAGCTGTGCACTGATTCAAGAATTCTTAACTTTGATGGTGAGATAAGTTAAGTGTTTTTCAAGATACAGAGATAGGGTTTGCACCTTCAACAAGGGCAATTTCAGTACAAGCACATTTTACAGACTAATTAGAAGATTTTGTTGATTATGATCTCTAGTTGAAACTTATAGACTGCTTCCAACACAGTTATTGTCATAGTTAGAAAGGTATCATCAGAGATGTTGTAAGGGAATCAGTCTGGTCTTCATTTGTCCCACTGCTCTCTGTGTGTTGTGGTGCTGGCAACAAGGGCTAACAGTTTTGTCAAATCATTCCACATATGCAGATGAAGTTTTTAAAACTGTAAATAATGTTATACTAACTTTCCTAAAATGCCTTTCTGCTGTTCTTTGATGAATTTGTAGAGTGGATGGGCTTTTCTGCCATTCACGTCTGTCTTGCTGTACATGTCGAACTGAACGTCAAACTCCTTCAAAACAAACCTCTTGATGCGATTGTTCGGGCCAAGGCTCCTGTAATATTACACAACATAAAATTACATAGGACATCACATCTGTTGAAATGAAGCTAAGATCAACATTTCTGAATTAAGGTTATACAGAAATAAAGCCAAAGAGGTTTAGGAAGCTGACATCTGATTGGTTCAAGAGCCAGTGCAGCCTCAGACAGGGCAGTCACTATTCTCTCTGAGCTCATCAGTCCCCGATACGACTGTCTATAGAAGTGGCATCTGATCTTGACTGGGTCTGATGTAATAATTGTAATAAGATTGTGTGATTGTTTTGAATAGAGGTTCAAACAGGACCAAACATTACAGACACAATAGTACATGTACATCATTTAATATATTGTTTTATAAAGTTCCCTTCATGTTCCAGTGTATTGTCCACTGCTGGTAACTGAAACTCACTGTCCAGGCTCCGATTTTTGAAACAAACTTACGTTTTTTACACAAATCTCAAACTGAGTTTCACAATTTGAAACATCTGAATTTTTAACTCAACTGCAATTTTTAAATATAGAAGCCCAAACTACTTAAATGAATCTATCCACCAAACTCAAATTGTAGTTATATGTTATATGTAGTTACTATAGTTTGAGTTTAATACCGATTTCAGTTCATTCTGTGAAATGCATTTTCCTGCGTTTTCTCAAATATGAGTAAAAGCTCGAACCTAAGTCAAAACTCACACTTAAAGGTCACATGCAACGTAAAACACAACTTTGCAGATTCTGATACCTTTCGGTACGGACTTACCGAAACAAATCATAAAAAATGCAAATTCAACTTATAAAGTTGAAAAATAACGCGATGAAAAAAAACGCGCGAAATCGGAGTTCAAACAATTCACTAATTTTCCCCCAGCGCTTGGGGGAAAAGTGGTTTCAACAGCTAGGCTGCGATGCGCTGGGCTGCACTCATAGCACATGCGCAGTGAAATAGGTTCGCGCAGCTTGGAAGCGGGTTGTCCGGTGAATACTCGGTGAAGGCTTTGGTGAGAGCTATTTTTCTAATGTTTTGTTGATATTTCACAGGCGCGAGCTTTTTATATGTTATGACAGTAGATTACCGACTTAACTGTTTATATAATTTCATTTGTCTATTTCACCACACGTTCTTCTTACCGAGTCACTTTCTCAGTTCGATACTTAAAAGCAATCTGATTATTTAGCGTTGACAGAATTTCTAACTGTGATATAGATATGTCGTTGTCACAGACAAAACTCAATGTCTGTTTTACTGACACCTTTGTGTCTGCCTGCCTGTCTGCTAATGACAATATTCAATACTCAACTTCGATCACTGACCACATGCAATTTGAACTTAACACCTATCAGGCTATACACCATAAACAAAACGCATTGATTTATGGCCCGAGTTCGGTCTCTGTCACATTATGTAATTACACAGACAGGCAGGTGTGATACTTGTACACATGACATGTTATGATGTCTGTTGATTGCAAAATGTTATACACAAAAAATGAGCATGTATTTACAAAACCCAACATCTCTATATATACACACACAATGAGCCGTGAGGGCATCTGGAAATTAACCAGCCGTTACACTTGAGTGCACACCCACCCGCTCTGACTGGGTTCGGTCTCCCGGGTGCTTCGTTTCGAGGGAAGTAAACCCAAGTACAAAATATTGCACTTTTGATTTGCGATTGTATGCTTATAATTTTGTTTATATGTTTTTTCATAATCAACAAGGTATATTATATGTCGTGAATAAGTGATAATTGTGTTTTAATTATGTTTGATTTTTTGATTGCATGTGACCTTTAATATCACTTTTCAACTAGCACAGGGGTAGATTATAGAACTAAACAGAGACAGGGTGCCTTAATATCACTTTTCAACTAGCACAGGGGTAGATTATAGAACTAAACAGAGACAGGGTGCCTTAATATCACTTTTACAACTAGCACAGGGGTAGATTATAGAACTAAACAGAGACAGGGTGCCTTAATATCACTTTGACCTGTCCCCAAACTGGTTACAAAGGGAAGGCGCACAGGGGATCCTAGAAGCTAAACAGAGACAGGGTGCCTTAATATCACTAGAGTTGTTGTAGCTGAGTGTAGTATTCCTTGGTGTACTGTCACTTGGATGCCACATTCACAATGATCACCAACTTGCCCCTGGGTGAACACAGGAACACACAACACAATCAAACCTTCGCACTGTCTGTACACAGTATTTGAATGGTGTATGGAAACTGATTGTGCATAAAATGATTTTACTAAAGGGTGCCTTAATATCACTGCATGAAACTAGAAAAATGCTATTATAGCCTTAATACTTTGATAAAGGTGATAAATTACTAGGGGTGTTGTCAATATGTATCAACTCGACTATAGTGTATCCTAATTTTTATTTCTGAATCTTGGTGACTGTCACTTTAACATGATCCCAACTTGCCTTTGAACACAGGAAAACACAACACAATTTACACTGTCTGTACACAGATTTGAATATGGTACTGATTGTGCATAAAATGATGTTTACAACTCTCATGAAAACTACAGATTTTTCAGAGCTGTATCTTTTTATTGTTTTACAGATGAGCCTGCAAATAGAGTGTTTTTAATATCTGTGTTTGATGTTTATAAAATCATTTCTTTACTTTTTGAGTTCTGGTTTTATGCTAATTTTTTCTTGTCAATTTACATACAGGTGGTGAGAGAAATATGAATCAAGCTAATCACTTTATTGAAGAAATATTAATATAAATAGTCTTGATAAAAAAAACACCAGAAATGGGCTTCAGACATTGTGCCCATATGGGGAATCAAACCCGGGTCTTTCGGCATGACGAGCGAACGCCTTAACCATTAGGCTACACCACTGCCCCAACAAATATCTACAAAGACTTTAACGATACAAGAACCCTACCTGTATTTGTCCAGAGAAACTTCCCTTCCATCAATATCTTCAGCTGTGAACTCATAGATGGAGGCAGCATTCTTCCAGGCATTGTTTCTGTCTGCCTCTGACTGACATAGCAACACCAGTTATAATCTGTGTGAGTGTGCTTTTGTGTAAACTATATCAGGCGATGCATAATAGCATAGTACAGTGATCATATTCCAGTTGTGTGGATTGATGCTCATGCTGCTAATCACTGGATTGTCTGATTCAGACTTTATTATTTACAGACTGCTGACATATAGCTGGAATATTGCTGAGTGTGGCATTAAACAATAAACAAAGAAACACTGTATAGATGATAATAACGTAGAAATGAACACTGATTTTTATATATTTATCCTTTGAATAATTATGTACATTAAAGTAACAATTTGGTTTGGGGATTTAAAAACAAATATGTATTCATTAATATACCCCAAAAAATTGTGTCTACATTTCAACAATCATTTTGATTGTTTGCTCCATTTTGAGTAGAAAATCAGGGCTTACATTGGAGTATTGGAAAGAGGTTTAACTGGAATTTGATAACGAGCAGACAAATATCTATGTCATTCTAAAGATATAGATTCTAGGTATTAGAAAATGAAGGATTTTTATTTTTATTTTGACTAATTAAGGTAGTATTTTCACTGGGCATCACAAAATATCATCATTGGTCATAACACACGAAAGCAATGACTGAATGAAGATTGTTACATAATGGAGTAGATAAACATGGTTTCGCAATTGAATTTTGTGATTGGGTAATCATGCATATCTGATGAGTGCATGCTTCCCGCGGGCACTGTTACTGTTAGTCGCGTCCAGCGTATATATTTAGAAAAGAATTTAAACAAGTTAAAATAAATTTTGGAAACAGACGATAAATTTGGCCAAACTGTGAATTTACATATGTCTATACAACTGTCAGCTCGCCAATGTAACAGACATACCATTTTCGACGATGAGCATGTTGTACCAAGCTCCATTCTAGATAGCTAAGATACATGTAAACAAATGTACGTTTACTCCTTACACGTATACCCTGTGCAGAGTTTTGACGAATCAACCTATTAGAGTTTCGTACATTAAAAAGAAATGTAGTTTTATAACGAAAAATAGGTGTGTTATTATTATATTGTATATATTTACTTCATAAAAAGTAATATTTGCATTATTTATATCTCAAAACATTGAAACAACATTTAGACAGCTTTACTTGATATATGTGTACTATTTGTTTACAGCCTAAAATTGAAAAAAGGGATGTTGAAATTATTTCAACAGTCATTTTCGTAACAACTGCCTAATGTTATTCAAGTTTGATAAACAAGTTTTACTTTAGCCATTTCTATCATAAGAAAAGTATTGTAAAGAATATTAAAGTATTAGTTTTAAAATACATATAGTTGAATGTAACTAGTTTTGAGGAGAAGCGTATTAGTATTTGTCGTGGTAAATAACACAACACGTGAAAGCTTCTTCATTGTTATATTACGATTTTGACTCGTAATGGATGACGAACAAGAAACATACAAATTATGGCGCATCCGAAAAACTATCATGCAGGTATTTTACCAGGATTAGAATCTGTCTATTCAATTATACACAAGATCTGTTCTATCGATCATGCATGTCGTAATGATCAGAGATTCATAAAACCAACGTCAGCTCACTGAAAGAGGGTGATAATTTCATTTGGCGACAGCATTTCTAGTAGTACTGAAACTAATTAAGAAAACAGATATTTTAATGTATTAACAACTCGTTAATTGTCATTGTCTTTTCATGTAATCATGGTAATAAAAATAAACTTGTCTAATTGCAACCATCGACAAATTTACTCTTACCACTGTTTACCTTTATAGAAAGAGACATGACCCTTTTGTTGACAATCATAGGACATCCAGTATCAGGAGTATATATTAGTTTGTGCAACATTATGTGTGGTAAGAAGGTGAGGAAAAGCGTAGAGTGTAGTGAGGATGTTTAACTTTGTAGTTGAAACACTGACATGATGTAAGAGTCAAGTACAATATTCTGTCATGTCAGCATAAGTATAACTTTGTGTGCCATTTTCTTAAGACTAATCAGTTAAGATGGCATTGCTGATAGTGATATGCTGATGTATGAGTAAGTCAAACTTTTGTTCCTCTTCATACCAGTAGGTTATGTTGTTGAAGATAGATTTCATCTGTTTTCCTATAGAAAAAACCTGTTGTAATGTAAAGGTTCCTTTTACCGTTTTCACCAGTTTTCAAACTCTCGATTGGTTTGGTACCTTCACATGGGTATTAATGAATGAACAGCCATGTTTAGCACGCAGTTGTCAACATTGACCTTCAAAATCAGCATTAAAACTTGAATTTTTAGAATAAAATGTCTAATTTAAAAATTTGGTGAATCCTACTTCAAGGGAAGTGAAAAGTCACTTTCCAAGGATAGTAAATGTCCCATATGAACAGAAGTACAACTACTGTCAGTGAACAGGTGAATCATGAATGAATAATGTTTCAGAGACACATGTTAAGTTAAATAATCTGGTAAAGCGTTTTCTTTTGACAGTGTCAGACTTAGATATGGAGTGGGCTAGTACTCTTATTGCATCATGTCAATGACATAGTATTGCCTTATTTTTCTAATTACCATTGTTACCAAGCAATCACATGTGAACTGTATGTTCCTTCAGCTCTGTCACGATCGAGGATATCTGGTGACACAAGATGAATTGGACCAAACACTGGATGAGTTCAAGGCTCAGTTTGGTGATAAACCCAGGTAAGCTAATTTAAATTTTTATAGTCTATCCATACCTGAGACATGGACATACATTTACCTCAGACATGATTTGGTGAAAATGGTTTGTAGGCTCAAAATGTATTACAGTTATTTTGTATTGCGTTATATTAATATAAGTAAGGTTTGTAAAGTTTAAAATGTCTTTCTTCATTTTCTTTATAAATAGTCTCACTACTGGTACTGAGCCCTGGAGTCAATGTCATAGCTGTGACATTTTGTTTGACATTAATATACCTATGTAGGTAATTAAACATTGGTCTTTAACATGTCATAGTGATGCTCAAAGTTACTAACAGGCTAACCTATTTGTAGAATATTGGTTGTATGGTTTGTTATCTTACCGTACATCCATGATTCCATAGACACAGTCCACAGATTGTTGAGTTAACTAGGTTTCTTCAGTATCTATCACATCATTTAAACTTTCTTGCCAAGTTTTCAAACCCAAATCTAATAATTTATAGTAGGGGCGATGGGGTAGCTAAGGGCTTAACATTTGCTTATTGTGTCAACAACCCAGATTCGATTCCCCCACCTGGCTACAATGGGTAAAGCCCATTTCTGGTTTCCGTGATATTGGTGGAATATTGCTAAAAGTGTTGTAAAGCCATCCTTACTCACTCACTGAAAATATCAATGGTGTGAATCCCTATAATGGTTTATTTCAGTGAACGGAAGCCTGGAAGAAGTGACTTGATTGTTCTTGTAGCTCACAATGACGATCCTACAGGTGAGATGATGTTCCTATAAATGTAACAATGATTTTATTGGTAACTGAAATTATATGTGCAGGTATTCAGGTCTTTGTCATAGCCATAATGGCAGATGGTATTGCAGACTCAACAAGAGTGAGTGAGTGTGTGAGTTTAGTTTTACGCCGCACTCAGCAATATTCCGGCTATATGGCAGCGGTCTGTAAATAATCGAGTCTGGACCAGACAATCCAGTGATCAACAGCATGAGCATTGATCTGTGCAATTGGGAACCGATGACATGTGTCAACCAAGTCAGTGAGCCTGACAACCCGATCCCGTTAGTCACCTCTTACGACAAGCATGGGTTACTGAAGATCAATATTCTAACCTGGACCTTCATGGGTAGACTCAACAAGACGCTGCAATAATACACAGTAACAATCAGACTGATGAGTATATATACTGATAGATTAATACAACTATAATTATAGCATGTACATGATGTTATCAGGGATGTATCTAAACCAGCTCCATTGTCAATGTATGGCATTAAGTCTTCTGCAACTGTTATTTAAACCTCCCAAACAGGAATGTATTATTTCACAATGATGTTAATATGTGTTACTAATCCTGAAATTAATTTTATGGCTTTGTAATTGTAGATATAACCTGTAGTTCACTGATAACAGAACCAATAGATGGGAAGGCAGTTTTAATTCTTAGTATTACTGTATTGAGTACAATCTCAAAATGTAATGTTAAAATACCTCAGGATTTAAGGAAATCTTAACAAAATATTTCTTTTTTTTCTAAATTTCCTTTCAAGGGGCACTTAGTTTCAAAACCTTGTGAAGTCCCAGGTGCAGAATTCACATTTATCCATGTCCATCAGTATCTTTTTGCAATGGCATGCAATTATATTTATAATAATGGATGTATCTAACTTTTCAAAGATCTTACTCATGTTTGTTCCCACATGTGACATGGAATTGTAAGGATGGTTAAATTTGGATGCAAGATTTCAAATTTTGCTTAATTATTGGGAGTTGTTTCTGAGGAGTGGGAACTTCATGGTAAAGTATGGTATATGGATGAACTCGGACAGATTGTGTCACGCTCTTGTTTCAGATCAGATGTTTGTGTTTTTCCCAGAAGAACCTAAAGTTGGAATCAAAACAATCAAGACATATTGTCAGAGAATGCAGGAAGAAAACATTACTCGTGCCATTATTGTTGTACAGGCTGGCATGACGCCATCAGCAAAGCAGGTCAGTTACCATGGTAACACATACCGAGGCATGTTGAAAGCTGTGACTGACCTCACGTTCATTCACTCAGAGGTCTATTTCAAGTTGTCACATGTCTGACAACTCTTTTGTGATTTGTCATTACACAAACTGTCAGAAAAGTTATTTGTATCTTTTTGCCAAAAGCGTTGGCTCGTCACGCCGAAGACCCAGGTTCTAATCCCTACATGGGCACATTGTGTAAAGCCCATTTCTGGTGTCCCCCGCCATGATATTGCTGGAATATTGCTAAAAGAGGCGTAAAACCATACTCACTCACTCTTTTTGCCAAATTTAATACAGTGACTATTGGCATCAAACTGTTATGGTAATGAATAAAACTACCTGAGAGACATGTTTAACTGATGATGTGTTATCTAATGAACATATAGTGGTTATGGTAACATTATATTGTCATTGTTTCCAAAAACTGCAGTTGAAAATCAGTGTTTTACAGTTTTTCCTTTCTTCTAGTAGCCACTCGTCAGAAGCCAAGTCAAAATTCTGATCAGTCTAGTCATCTCAGCAAATAATTATCAATATAGATCAGCCAAGTTCAGGCTAGTAGACTCAAAGGGTTGGAATACCCAGAGGCTTTTGGCACCGACCATTTTCATATGCTAGGATTGGCACTAGAGCCCTAGCCAGGACCAGTTTTGGTAATGTATTAGTATCCTTCAGTGTTATTTCTATTCTGGCTGGTGGAAATAGTTCCATTTTTATAACATTTGTAGAACACACATGAAAGATATATATGCAGGATAATGTGACCATGCTGATGACTCTCCATATTATGTTGAGTGTCGTGTTTGTTGAGTGTTATGAAGCATGTTCTGCAGGCTCTGGTTGAGATGGCCCCGAAGTATATCCTGGAGCAGTTCCGAGAAGCTGAGCTACTCATCAACATCACAGAACACATGGTGAGTGAGTGAGTGAATGATGTTTAGTGCCAGTCAGCACTATTCCCGCTGTATCAAGGCAGCCAATCATTATTTTCATTTTGGTGAGGTGAGGTGAAATTGGGTTTAACGTTGTGCTTGAGAATATTTCGCTCATATGACGACATGCATGCGTGTGTATGTGTATGTGCGGCTTCTTGTACTAGCCCAGACTGAAGCTGGTTTTAAAGTGCTAGCCCACTGAGATACCATGCCGCAGTAAAGCATGAATACCCCACTCAGACACATTATACTGACTCCGAGCAGACCAGTCCTTGTACCCATTAATGCCGAGCACCAGGCAGGGACCAACAAGTACCATATTTTAACATCTTTTGGTTGGGGATCGAACCCGTGAACTTCCGCTCTCCGGGCGGATGCTCTAACCACTACACCACGGAGGCGGTCATTTTCATTTTGGACCAAGCAAAGGCGTTTTTGATTTGAATAACAATGCCCTTGTCAGCTTCATGACGACTAAGTCGCTGAGTTTGACCACCTGATCTATTTAGTCAGCACATGTGACAAGCATAGGTTACTGGGAGTCCATTTGTCCCTAAAATGGCAGTGGGAGGAAGAAATGTTCAAGAAATTACATACGAACAATTTGATGAACAAGAGATATTGAATATTTCCTGGTTTTATATTTAAAAGTATCCTGGCATGAAATACAGCAGCAAATGTGAATCCTATGAGACATAATTGGTTTTTTTGTTAGTTAAAAAGTTATTTGTCATTTTCCATAGCACTGTATATTCACACAGCTTTGAGATACACCTGACACATTGTTTCCATTAAACAATGGATGATATCATTTGTTCCCATGGCAACTAAACTGAATGATTTTGTAAGGTGAATGCAAAAATCAAATCAAGGGAAGTAACTATGATGATTGTGTATTAATTGGAAAACCAGAATGGACTTAATGCATGATGTTCACTGTGCAGTGGAAATCAAACCTCAATTTATGAATCTAGGAAAAGTGTTTAAACTGTGAAAGGTGATCAGGGCTCGGAATTCTATCTTGAGATGTTAAATGATTGATTCCTGTTCAGTCATATGTATATGCTGCTACCCACAGACTGGACTGATTGCATGTCATCACAATTTAATGGTGTTGAGAGATGATCATGCAGCACAGTGGGTATTGAAGGTTAGGAAGGTTGGTCCCTGGCAACCTTGAGGATCTGGATCAGATTTGGTCTTCAGCAACCCATTCTTGTTGTATCGGGTTGACAGGCGTGTTGACTTGGATAAACATGTTATCATATCTTAATTGTTTATATCAAGTTGTATTGATCTATTAGTACAATGCCGTCCGGTAATTCCGTGCACCTAAGCATATCGATCGCAACACGGCAACTAATGCCTCTTATTTTTTGTGGTTTACTTGACTAACATGCTTGTATGCATCATATTTACCTAGAAATATAAGTTTTATCGACAACTATAAGATTCTAACATTGCATTATGCCATACGGTTGACCTTACCAGCGTTCTGACGACATCGCTTGATGTCCGGTAATTCTGCGCAGCAACTGATGCGCATAACATACAGTTGGAAATCCGAACTATCGAGGCGTATTAGGGACAGATTATTTTCAAAAATCACTTCATCAATGTAAGGAAGAGTGTTTCATATTAAATCCAATTATGAAGAATGAAGAAAAGGGTTTAAAAGTCTGAAGAAAACGAATTTTCCAAAAACTGTCAATTTTTCTGTCAATTACTGTTATTTACTTACCTTTAGTGAATAAAGCCAGTCCCTTGTAGAAATGTCCCGATTTCAAGCGTAAATGTGTTAGCAGACGATGTTTACCTTCGATACGGAAGTACGCAATTGCAGCTGAGCAGAATTACCGGACGCGCGGAATTACCAGACTCGCTTGTATGTGTTTTCAGCATCCTAATTGACCCGTGAAGATCCCGGGTGGAATAGGTCTTCAGCAACCCATTCTTGTCATAAAAGGCGACTATGCTTGTCGTAAAAGGCGACTTAACGGGGATCGGGTGGTCAGGCTCGCTGACTTGGTTGACATATGTCATCGGTTCCCAATGGCGCAGATAGATGCTCATGCTGTTGATCACTGGATTGTCTGGTCCAGACTCGATTATTTACAGACCTCTGCCATATAGCTGGAATATTGCTGAGTGCAGCATAAAACTAAACTCACTCACTCATCATCCTAATTGGTACTGGGTATTATTCCAGCATCTTAAACTATGTTGAGTTCTAATCTCCTTGCACACTGGAAGATTTGGGTTAGAATTGGTCTTCGGTAATCCATGCTTGTAAGCGGCTGATGGGATCGGGTGGTCAGACTTGCAGACTTGGTTGACACATGTCATCGTATCCCAATTGTGTAGATGATCGATGCTGATGCTGTTGATCACTGGATTGTCTGGTCCTGTTGGCTTGTCATCATACCCTGACAGCATTGATCTCTCACAATATATCAATCACTAGTTTTTCTGGTCCAGACTTTAATATTTACAGACTTCCATCATGTAACTGGAATACTGCTGAGTAGTGTGAAACAACAATCAAGATCAAGTTTTGGTCAAGATAGCATAGACTGATAAGACTAAAAATCATATGTTTAAAATCAAATCATGATAATCAAAACACTGTTGCAAATGTGCAAGTGTTGAAAATGAAGGTTAGTTTTGATCACATGTGTAGTGTATAACTGCTGGTATGTGGTATAATAAATTCATGTGTGGATGCTGTTACTTGTCATCAAGAGTTATGTCCCTTAGAACATGGCCCTGGAAACTGATGAGACATTTGGGAGAGTGAGTGAGTGAGTATGGTTTAACGCCGCTTTTAGCAATATTCCAGCATATATCACATGCAAACGGGGACACAGAAATGGGCTTCTGATTCCGCAGGTACCACATTGTACCCATGTGGGGAATCGAACCCAGGGTCTTCGGCTGCACACTGACTGACTGACTGAGCTTTAGAGTGAACGCTTTTAACCACTAGGGAAATACCCCATTGTACCCATGTGGGGAATCGCCCCCATTTGGGAGAGAGATTTGATGACACACTGTAAAGATACATCAGTGGAGCACCGTTTGTTATTACACAAGGGTCATTTGTCAACCATTTTTAGTGAACCCCAAGCTTTAGCAACACAACTTGTGTGTCATCTCATACAAACCATATGTGTTTCATTGATATACAACTAGCCAGGCTTCTCGCAATGTTTTAGCATACAAAAAGCTTTAAGTCAGCTTAAATTGATCTCACTTGTTGTCCCCCGCCGAAACGCGGAACGGGGGACTATGTATTCATCGGCGTCCGTCTGTACATACGCCCCGATTCCGCGATATCTGATACTGTTGTATAATGTCTTCAAATTTGGTGACAGCATACATTGGGGATTACGCGAGACACCAGTTGTCACACTTAACTCATGTTAATGCGATATCTCATGGACTGTTGTACCCAATTTCTTCAAATTTGGTGATAGTTTACATTGGGGTATTACACAGACACCAGTTTCTTTGGGTGACCTTGACCTTATCTTCAAGGTCACCACGATACTTTGACCGCTTTTTAAAGGCGATATCTCATAAAACATTGCACCCAATGTTTTCAAGTATGTTGGCAGCCTACATTGGGTGATTATGCAGACACCAGTCATTTCAGGCATCTTGTATGTGACCAAAAAATAAAAAGTAGTAAATATAGATATTCCATTCTTTAGCGGCGGGGGGCATTGCCATATCAGTGGCAAACACTTGTTTTTAGTGTTTCCCCAGTGGTGATTCATGATTTAAATGGGGGTGGTTCGGTAGCCTAGTGGTTAAAGCGTTTGCTTCTTACGCCAAAGAATCCGTGTTTGATTTCCACATGGTACAAAGTGTAAAGTTCATTCTGGTGTCCCTCGCTGGGATATTGCTGGAATATTGCTAAATGTGGCATAAAACTAAAGTCACTCTCTCATGATTAGCATGCATCCCTGCATCAAGTTACATTCATACGGCAGGAGTGTTGCTGAGCAGTGCTGTGTTTCGTTTCATGTTTATCTACCATCATGTCCACCTAACTTACCTTAACTTATATTTATGTTGCAGCTGGTTCCGGAACATGTCGTGATGACCCCCGAGGAAAAGTCGGAACTTCTAGCCAGATAGTATCCTTCTTTTACAACATGATGATTAAGTCTAAGCCGTAACATTAATAATAATAATAATAAGTCATCAAATAATTCTATAGCGCACAGCCTCCAAACACCAAGTGATTGCTCGAGGCACTTAATCAGAATCTGATTACTATTACCCCAGATAACCCAGGCTGCCTGTTAGGTACTAGAAGGTTATAATCACATGACTTTATCCCACCGGGTTCCCATTTTCTGCTTGGTGAACAGAGGCAATTTTGAACAAACTCACTTGCCTAAGGTGAGACCACATGTATCACATGTTCTTCGTTGTGGGGCAGGACTGAAGTGCTATAAACTCCTCAGCTGCCAAACACAGACACCCATCCAAGGACTGTCCGACGTTGCTTAACTTCAACTGATTCGTGACCTGATCTCTGTGCACAAGACCTCACAATCACATTCCTTGGAGGATCCCTAGTTGGGATACATCTTTTAGAATTGAATTGCTGAAAGGATACATCCGTTCACACAGTGATGATAGATACTGGTCAAAGTTATTTTACATTTTCAGTTTGACTCTGAAAACAGCAAGAAACTTAGTTGTCACTCATGTCGTCATGGCGACTCAGCACTTATAATAGGATGTTTGTCAGTCTGTACATCTGTGTGAGTGACTGAGGGATTGGATTGGCGCTACAGTCCTTGGAAGTCTGCCCAAAAGTTAAGATATCATAAGGGCAAGTAGAAATTTGACATTTTTAAGGGTTTTCTTTGTCTAAAGGAGAGGACCAGTGCAAAGTCTGATTGTGATGTGTAAATGTTTTCTAAAATTACTGCAGATTTCACTAATTTAGTGAATTTGTTTTCAACCAATGCTTTGTGTCTATGACATCATTAGTCGGAGTGTTGCTGAAGGGCCAGGTTCCACTGCTTTTGTTTTGAACTCAGGTCTAATTACGTGATGCCAAGTCAGAAAACATTGCATATCTATTGTGATGAAAAATGGGTATCGTATATTACCGTAGATTCGCCATATTTCAAGACCCCAAAAATGCAGTCTTTTGATGGGGGTCAGCTCATCTACAGGATACATTTTCGTAAAAGTTTTTTTCAGGGGATAAGAAAACGACATTGTATTGCTTTGCGTTAACAAACAAGAGTAGACGACTTTGTCAGTAAAGACATTAAATTTGCAATTAGACATCACTAGACAAGATTATTTACCTTTTCAGTTGTAATTTGTTTTTCTAGTTTGTTGACATGTGATCATCCAGCACCAACAAATATGACTTTTAGCCAAACCAAATATGTATACATGATCCATTTTCTGTCAACTACACTTCATTTTGAGGTATGAGTAAATGCAATATGATAGTGATTGTTGTCAATAATGCAGACCAAAGTTATAAATATCGGAAGATGACTGATCACAACGAAAGGATGAGGGAAGGTTGGGGGTTGGCTTTTCTATGGAACGTACCATTTTGACACTGATTTTAAGGGTCAAGGTAGGGAGTCGGCTTATCTACAGTAATATACAGTATGTTACTAAATATTCATATGATTTAAACACACATACATTTTCATGTGTTATGGAGACTGCAGAAGACTGGGAAAGTCTGGCAGTAACCTGTTATCAAATTCATTTGAATTCTGATGCATTTCAGCTTCTAAAATGACAACAAATATGAGAGTATTTCTCTTTTGATTAATGTGTATTGATAAAGTTGGATCATGTCTTTTTCATAGGGTGATCACAATGATGGATCTTGAAACTCTTACAGCCGAAATAAATGGGAGATCTTTGTCAGAGTTGACCCTGATCATTATCAGATATTCTGTAAAGTTCTGTATGAACTGATAACCAAGGTTGAAGTTTACAGTGACTGATTTAAAGATGAAAAATCTTAGAAAACCTATTTTGATATCTATACCTAATATTGCATGTTCACTACAATGCAGGAAATGGAAAAACACTTTTTTCTGTGCCAACTTCCCAAGCAAGATCTCTTTTGTCTGAGTTGCCTCCCTTTCTTCTTCTGTGCCTTCTCCTCTGTCTGCAATCTGTGCTGGCTGACATGGTCTTTTATTGGAAACTTTTGATATACCTTTAGAGAAATTTCAGAATTGCAAAAGTCTCCAAGAAATTATATGCACGATTTTGTATTGGAAGCACAAGCACAGTAAATGGATGATAAAAAGCTGATGGAAGTGTCAGTTTACATGACATCAGCAAAAACAAACTCCATTATTTATAGGTCATCATCATATCGTTGAATAAAGTCTTGTGAAGAAAAGCAACTCAAACCTATTCTGTACCCTAAATCTCACATTGTGTCAGTGTTCCCGAATCTTGACAGAGTTATATCCCTTGACCTATCACCAGCAAACTGAAGGATTCCCAGATTCCCAGAATTCAGCAGGGTGACCCAGTTGCAAGATACTTTGGTTTGAAACGTGGCCAGGTAAGTTTCAACAGTGTATCCAAGGAAAATTAGGATATTTATGTCGTAGATTCAAGAACTCACCCTCCAGACTTACATGTGCAGATGTTCATATGGACGACAGACATGAACTGATAGTTTGAGAACTATAATGGTACACTTCTTTGCAATATGTTTCATGACTTGATGTGGATTCAGAGATATGATTATTATGGGATTAGTGAGGTTACAATGTGAAACCCAAGAAGATACATAAAACTTTACAATTGATGGGTTAAAAACGAAATGTTTCTCACATCAAAGGAAATGAGGCCATTTCGTACATTTGTGTAGTTAATAGTGGTGTTCCGATTAATTGAAATAATCAAAGATTGATCGCAGTGACCAAATGACCAAGCAATCGATCACATTTTCTCATAATCGAACATAAACAATTTTGGAACTACTGTTTTAGTCTTTGAAATACTTGACAATGGAACATATATTCGAAGTTGTCAGGGCCTGAAAACATGTTTAATTCTTAGAAAACTCACTTCACTAACTGAAAAGCCATGACTGAATATTTCTTGAAGACTCCGGGAAGTTTATGTTCATGATATATAAGTCATCACTTTAAAGTAGCAAGTTGCATCATGTTATAAATATCTGCAATAACAACCTGGATAGGAAAATCTGAAAAATGAGGCTAACCAATTTTTTTCGATGATTGTTCGGTGGTAATGAAACAATCATCAATCAACCAATACCCAACACTAGTAGTTAACAAACCAGTGGCTCTTGAATGTAATGTACATGCAGTTGTACAGAAAACGTTCAGTGGTAAGGACTTTGTCCGTGTTCATTCTCCTGGTGTACAAGCCTGTTCAGCTGGTAAGATGTTATGCCTGGTACTGATGTACTAGTAATAATAATGAGAGTACTGATACCGCGCAATGCTCCACACCACAAAGGGGCATGCTCAGTGCGTGCATAAACGTTTAAAAACAAACATATCAAAAGTCACATGAATCAGCATGGTGGAGGATAGTCGTTAATATGAGCTTGGAGAGAGTTACTTTTTGTATGGGCTGAAAAGGTGTGTATTGAGGTTATGCTTGAACACTTGAAGAGATGGAGCTGGATGCAGTTTAAGTGGAAGCGAGGTCCATAGTGTGGTAGCTCACGAGGCCACAGGCACCCAGTCATATAAGGCTCAGCAATTCTCTGTGTGAGTTGGATCCCTCCAGTGTGTTATGCTTGTTAAGGAGATATTTACAGTTGATGCTTTCTTTTGAGAAGCCACTGATGAAAAAATAAATCTTACATTCCAAGTCAAGCAGGCAATAAAATTCAAAATTCCCTCGAATTTATAAGGAATGTACAGATTTACAAGCGTCAACCAATCAGAAGGCCGGCCTTCTGGGATGAGACTTGTGCAAAGTGTCTGTTCACGGTATCATGTTATGAAAGAGAGGAGGTAAATGATAAGAGACTGGAGGAAGAGTTTCATCCATGACCGTGTATCAAAAATATGACTCTCATATAAATGTCGCTTCTTAACTACAGACCCGTGAAGATCCGGGTTAGAATTGATCTTCAGTAACCCATGCTTGTCTTAAGAGGCGACTAATGGGATCGGGTGGTCAGGCTCGCTGACTTGGTTGACATATGTCATCTTATCCCAACTGCATAGATCGATGTTCATGCTGTTGATCCCTGGATTGTCTGGTCCAGACTTGATTATTTACAGATTATTTGCTGAACTCCATGTTAGGATTCCTTGAAAGAATCTGTCCCCAAGTGTCACAATCTTGTCACCCAGAAATGATTACAGGGGATGGGGTTAGATTGCACCACTGTACGGACCTGGGTTAGATAAGTCTCCAGTACCCCATGCTTGTACCACCAGGTAAATCTGGTTAAGGATAGGCCCCTAGTACCCCGTGCTTGTACCACCATGTGGATCTGGCTAAGAATAGGTCCTCAGAACCTCATGCTTGTACCACCAGGTAAATCTGGTTAAGGATAAGTCCCTAGTACCCCGTGCTTGTACCACCATGTGGATCTGGCGAAGAATAGGTCCTCAGAACCTCATGCTTGTACCACCATGTGAATCTGGCTAAGAATAGGTCCCAAGTACGTCATGCTTGTACCACCATGTGGATCTGGCGAAGAATAGGTCCTCAGAACCTCATGCTTGTACCACCAGGTAAATCTGGTTAAGGATAGGTCCCTAGTACCCCGTGCTTGTACCACCATGTGGATCTGGCGAAGAATAGGTCCTCAGAACCACATGCTTGTACCACCATGTGAATCTGGCTAAGAATAGGTCCCTAGTACGTCATGCTTGTACCACCATGTGGATCTGGCGAAGAATAGGTCCTCAGAACCTCATGCTTGTACCACCAGGTAAATCTGGTTAAGGATAGGTCCCTAGTACCCCGTGCTTGTACCACCATGTGAATCTGGCTAAGAATAGGTCCCCAGTACGTCATGCTTGTACCACCAGGTGAATCAGGTTAAGAATAGGTCCCTAGTACCTCATGCTTGTGCCACCATGTGAATCAGGTAAAGAATAGGTCTCCAGTACCCCATGCTTGTACCAACATGTGGATCTGGCGAAGAATAGGTCCTCAGAACCTCATGCTTGTACCACCAGGTAAATCTGGTTAAGGATAGGTCCCTAGTACCCCGTGCTTGTATCACCATGTGAATCTGGCTAAGAATAGGTCCCCAGTACGTCATGCTTGTACCACCAGGTGAATCAGGTTAAGAATAGGTCCCTAGTACCTCATGCTTGTGCCACCATGTGAATCAGGTAAAGAATAGGTCTCCAGTACCCCATGCTTGTACCAACATGTGAATCTGGCTAAGAATTGGTCCCCAGTACCCCATGCTTGTACCACCATGTGAATCTGGCTAAGAATAGGTCCCCAGTACGTCATGCTTGTACCACCAGGTGAATCAGGTTAAGAATAGGTCCCCAGTACCCCATGCTTGTACCACCAGGTGAATCTGGTTAAGAATAGGTCTCCAGTACCCCATGCTTGTACCAACATGTGAATCTGGCTAAGAATTGGTCCCCAGTACCCCATGCTTGTACCACCAGGTGAATCTGGTTAAGAATAGGTCCCCAGTACCCATGCTTGTACCACCAGGTGAATCTGGTTAAGAATAGGTCTCCAGTACCCCGTGCTTGTACCACCAGGTGAATCTGGTTAAGAATAGGTCCCCAGTACCCCATGCTTGTACCACCATGTAATCTGGTTAAGAATAGGTCCCTAGTACCCCGTGCTTGTACCACCAGGTCAATCTGGTTAAAAATAGGTCCCCAGTACCTCATGCTTGTACCACTGGGTGAATCTGGTTAAGAATAGGTCCCTAGTACCCCGTGCTTGTACCACCATGTGAATCTGGTTTAGAATAGGTCCCCAGTACCCCATGGCTTGTACCACCAGGTGAATCTGGTTAAGAATATGTCCACAGTACCTCATGGCTTGTACCACCATGTGAATCTGGTTAAGAAAAGGTCCCTAGTACCCCGTGCTTGTACCACCATGTGAATCTGGTTAAGAAATATGTCCACAGTACCTCATGGCTTGTACCACCATGTGAATCTGGTTAAGAATAGGTCTGCAGTGCCCATACTTTGCACAGATCCTCATACACTCTATGCTATAGCTGTAATACTGTCCAAAGCAGCATGAAATAAATGATTAAAAAGAGATGTCCACCAGTGTAGCTCCTTATATAGCAAGCATGATGTGTGTTAATGAGCACTTTGAGCACATTCTAGAGACATACACAAACACATGTTTCATAACACATACCGGTATGTATGATATACTTATACAGGACACTTATGCAATACACTGTGTACCATCTCTTGTACCAAGGACCACCTCCGTGGTGTAGTGGTTAGAGCGTCCGCCCGGTAAGAGGAAGGTCGCGGGTTCGATCCCCGACTGCGTCATACCAAAGATGTTAAAATATGGTACTTGTTGGTCCCTGCCTGGCGGTCGGCATTAATGGGTACAACAAGGACTGGTCAGCTCGGAGTCAGTAATATGTGTCTGAGTGGGGTATTCATGCTTCACTGCGGCATGGTATCTCAGTGGGCTAGCACTATAAAACCAGCCTAAGTCTGGGCTAGTACAAGCAGCCGCACACACACATACACACGCATGCACGTCGTCATATGAGCGAAATATTCTCAAGCACGACATAAAAACCCAATTTCACCTCACCTCTTGTACCAAGACAATTACCCTCTGCCAAAACCATGCAAGTCATTTTCAGCTCAAATAATTGAAAGTCAAGTATGAAGTTAAAATTGTGTTTTTTTAGTGTCAATGCAGAAATTAGTTGAAAGTCATTATGGTCTGCACCTCTTTCTTATTAGTTGTTGTTGTTGATATTTAAAACACAACCATATTTCCTGTAAATAATATATGAGTCTTCCCTAAATTTTACTCAAATCTAAAAGAAAGTATATATTAAAGATACTATATATTCTTTGATTTAAAGTATGGCCATTTTTGTTATTTTTTCTCTCTCTTTTACCTAAACACATTTGGCCCAATGCATTTTTAAAATAAAAAATCAGGCAAATGGTTCCTTTTCACATTAATGCCATAAGTCCATAAATTGGGATGAGTAAGAAGATCAATAATCAGAAATATTGTCGATGGGAAGAATTATAAATGATTATCGATCTGAAAATTGTGTCATGGGTTTTTCGTGAATTATTGGGATGAAATGAAGTTTTGATAAGCAGTACACAAGTTCAGGTCTTTATTCATGGGCAGCTTCGAAATCATGTTCAGAATGCTGTTGTGATACGACATATATTTATCAGTTGTGGCTGGTAGTCATGACAACCCCTGAAGCATTGTTATTACATCAAGTGATGTATGAGCGGTACCCTTCAGGAATATTATGTAAATTGTTTGGATATAATAGATGTATTAGCCATTAAAAGTATAACAATACCGGCAAACTTTACCATAATGCATAATATATGAGCCATTATTTCACATACC